TGGAGCTACGAGGGCTTGATGGCTGTCGCACCCTCAACAAAACTGGCCAGGGAACTTTTTTTTACCACGCGATTCAAACAAGCTCTACACCATCATGAACTAGACATATGCCAGTACCTAAATCCCAGAAAGCAATTGGATATCTTCAAGCACGGCTCTACGGTAGCGATTCGAATGCGGTAAAACAGCCGATATTTCTGAGAGCGCCCATAGGCGCTGTGCATTATTTTTTAATAAACTAGGGAACTCGCACTATTTCAACTATAATACTGTAACTCCGGCAGAAGAAAGGTTCATGCAGTTGCTACTTGAAACCGTGAAAGCAATGAGAAAATCAGAAAGGGAGAGGAGTTATCATTTTTTTTCTCTCCCGTCCCATAGAGTGACGCGGGGAACCGCCTTCACCGTGCGGGAAAGCGCGCCTCCTGCGCGTGGGCCGGAATCCTGGGGACGCTTCCAGCGCTCATGGGAACACGGGGTACCCCACAGGGAGCAGTGTTATCACCACTCCTTTTCAACATTGCTATGATGCGCCTTCCAAGCGAATTGGCCAGGGTGGAAGGCACACAACACGCAGTATATGCCGACGATATTACAATCTGGACCACTGAAGGGAGCCTTGGTGAAATGCAGGAACGCCTTCAGCAGGCCGCATCCATAGTCGAGGCGTATGCCAACGATTGTGGACTCCAATGTGCTCCAAACAAATCAGAGCTTCTGCACGTTAGAGCGAATCCAAGAGATAAGTCAGCCATACACATCTCCCTGTCTGGGGTTCCCATCAGAGAGGTGGAGGAGCTCCGAATTCTGGGCCTGTTCATTCACCACAGACTCAGACCGGACTCCACTATAGCGAAACTCAAGAGAATAGGCGAACAGGTAGGGCGCATGATCCACCGCGTTTCCAACAAGCGGGGTGGTCTGCGGGGCAGAGACGCGCTTCGGCTCGCGCATGCCTTCGTGATTAGCCGAATCCTCTACGCCGTCCCATACCTTCGCACTAACAAGCAAGAAGACGAAAGAATAGATGCCATCATTCGTAAGGCTACTAAACGAGCTCTGGATCTCCCGGTGGCCACTTCCAACGCCAAACTGAGGGCGTTAGGTGTGCTCAACTCCTACCAGGAGTTGCGGGAGGCCCACCTTACGAATCATTATACGCGGCTCGTGCAGACGGCTCCCGGGCGCCGCCTGCTAAACCGCTTACATATACAGCACACTTGCACTGCAGAGGAGGCGGAGCGTATTCCGGAACTGTGGCGGCATATGCTCTCGGTCGCTCCACTCCCCAGTAACATGGATAAGCACACGCACGAAAGCAGAAGACAGGCGCGGGCTCGGACGCTTGAGAGGCAACACGGCTCCCGACCTGGTGTATTCTACGTAGATATAGCAGGGCCTTCGCCCACGGGATTTTACACGGCCTCTGTAGTTCACCGGGAAAAGCATGTCAATGGGCTCTCGTTCCGAGAACAAAATCCAGAGCGCGCTGAGGAAGTCGCGATAGCGCTTGCTGCTGCGGACCCCAACTCGAAAGTTATCATCACGGACTCCAGGAAAGCATGTACTCATTACTTGGTAGGAGAGATATCCCCCCTAGCCAGCCAAATTCTAAAACGGGCTCTCGCTGATCCAGCCCCGAAACGCATCGTATGGGCTCCTGGCCATCAGGGCCTACGAGGTAATGAGGCCGCTGACGCGACCGCCCGAGCGCTTACCCACCGGGCTCCTCACCTTGGCTCTTATGACTCGGAGGCCAATACACCGCTGCTGCGGTTCAAAGAAATTCTCACCTATTATCGTGACACTCGCCGCCTTTACCCGGCTCCTGCGAAGGGGCTGAGTAAGGCGGAAGAGCGAACTCTAAGGCGCCTGCAGACAGGTACTCTACTCTGTCCTGCAATCCTAAAGCATTTCGATGCGAACACAGATGGGCGGTGCCCACACTGTGGGGAGACGTGTGATATCTTCCACATGGTATGGGCATGTCCGAAAAATCCCCACCTACCCCCTTCCCCTACCCCTTCCCGAGAGGCATGGGAGACTGCCCTCCTCGACAGCTCATCACTTGAGTCTCAACGGGCTCTGGTGAGACGGGCGCGAGTAGGGGCCTCGTCATGCGGTGTCCCGGACTAAGGACGCCGACCATGTAGCAGGGTCATGCTTTGGCCCCGTACCTCTCTCTTTTACAATAAATGTTTTTCATCATCATCATCATCCAGCGCTCACCGCAGACCCGCGTTAGCGCCGGCCAACCCGTGATGCCAGCCGTGCACAACGCTGCTGCTTCGCATCTAATCAGGGGAACATGTTAATCTTTAGGGGCGAAGCTCTTTAAGCCGTGGATCATGCGCCCCCGTTGTGTGTAGTAGCAGTAGTAGTAGGTGCCAACTCTAGTTTAGCTGGATGGCGGCACTTGTATATGATGAATATATGATGAAAAGATGCAAAATGTCAGCACTTGGACTGTTCACTAGATGGACGAAGTGACGGACAGACAGGCAGACACACACAGGCATACAAACGGATGGACGGATGGACGCATAGACGGGCGCAGTGACGGACTGGCGGACGCTTTGCCCCACTCATCTTCATTCGCTCCGTGGATATGCTGTGATTAATTATTATTATTATTATTATTATTATTATTATTATTATTATTATTATTATTATTATTATTATGTTGAAATTTCCTCCTCTATGGCGTGCATCAATTCATATCGTAGTGAAAAACAAAGCACCAACCTCCCCGAAGGAAATCGAGAGGAAATGCGAATGCATCGCATAGCGTCTATAACAGCGTTCCACTCGTGAGAGCCCAGCGTTAGAAGAATAATGTTTCATTTTTTAGGGTCGAAGCTCTGAGCCGCGGACAGTCGTGCGCCCGCGATGTATGTAGTAGTAGCAGTAGTAGGTAGCCACCTCTCTTTTAGTCCTTGGAATTTCCGCGGGACGGCGGTAGTTTTATATGATGAATATATATTATGAAAAGATGCGAGATAGCGGTACTTGGAGGGTTCATTAGATGGACAGATGAACAGACATACCAGCAGACGGACAGATGGACGGACGAACAGATGCACAGACATACGGACGCACAGAAGGATGGATGGACGCGTGGACGCACGCTCGCGCGGACGGACGGACGGATGGATGGTCGCATGGTAGTACCGACGCATGGACGGAAGGAAGCAAGAACGAACGGACGGACTGACGCGCGCTTCGCCCCACTCATCATCATTCACTCCGTGGATATGCTGTGATTTTTTTTTTTTTCTAATACAATGCAGCCCATTGCACCGTTCGCCGCACGTTGCGCTTTTCTGTCGCGAGAAACGCGGTATGCGTTTCCAGCTATATTAGCTAGCGTGCACCGTTAAAAGATATCATGAACAAAACAAACAGCAGTCTCGGCGTTGGCGTTTCACAGCGGCGTCTCCAGCACACATTTCCGGGTGTTCTTCGGTCGAGAGTGAGGCACAAGGGGACAGGAAAGTGGAGCTCAGGGAGGAGAGAGAGCGAATGGCGAGAGAAGGAGCGGCGAGGCACAGCGCCTACCCTCTCCTACACTTTTAGATGCGGAAGCATCTTATACTCGCGCCTTGTAGTGCGCCGTCCGCGCCGTCCGCACCGCTTCTCGAACATTCGACAGCTGACGCGCGCGCATGCGCCGTCGCGCCGTCGCCCACTCTTCCACCATCTGTGCATCCCTTCCTCCTCTACACACCGCGCGCGCTTCACTCCTCCACCATCTGTGCACCCTTCCTCCTCTACACACCGCGTTCGACATCTACAATTCTCCTGATTCTCCAGTGGACGCGCATGTGGCGTCGCGCTTCGAGAACATTCAACAGCTGACAGTCCATGCGCCGTCGTGCTGTATATATACTCAAGGTCGGCGCTCGCTCGCTCAGTTGCCGCTCGTCGGTTGGTTTGTACGGCGCGTCGACGTCCAAGGTCGCGGTGAAATGAATTCCAACGAATCCACAAACACAATGATCGACGTCCCTTCGACCAGCGCCGCCCTTTCGCATACGTGTGTACGTGTTCACTCATTTAACACCCCTTCCTACAACCACGTTAACCAATTTAGCCATCGACCCAAGTAAGTCGCAATTTAACACCCCATTTCACAACCACGTTAACCAATTTAGCCATCGACCCAAGTAAGTCGCACTTTAACACCCCGTTAACCAATTATATGCTCCGCATCCTCCTCAGTGTTCTCCCGAGGGAAGCTGCGGGCAATTTTTTCGCACGGTCGCACCACATGTCCCGGTTGCTAGGGGCGAGGATAAGTGCGCCCGCCCCCAGATGTTGCTATGGGTGAGGGAGTGAGAGCAGAGATAACATCTGCCGGCGCTCGGGTGCGTCCGCGGACAACGCCTGATGCCTGACATAGCCCGATTAAGACATGCATTCGCATTTAATAACGCATTGAAAGATCAGATTCAACTTAGTGTTTGTAATCAATTATAGTCCACAATTCTTGTGGCATGCGGCACTGTTCAGAACTATGCAGTTCCCTGCTCTCATGTGCACCCATTTGTTACAAGGCCGCCTACGGTCAAGCATCTTTTAGGGGCGAAGCTTCTAAGGCACTGGGCCTGCCTCTCCTAGCTCGTACGTGATCGCCTAGTTCGATGACTCACTCAGCAGGTGCGGACAGACAGACAGACGGGTAGAAGGACAGACAAATCACGGTTTACCTATAAAACCCTCCGACGCTTCACCCGCTCATCATCATCCACTCCGCAGATATGCTGTCATTTTTTATTATTATTTCATTAGATACAAGGCAGATACCGCAACACTGCGCTTGCGCATGCTCCGTAGTTCACCAAAACCAATGCACGCGCACACTCCATGCAGTATGCGCGCGTGGCACGCGCTTATCAATAAAGATGAACGTAAGAGCACGAAGCCGCGCACCGCCCCGCTCACGTTGGTAGAATGGGAGTGGCCCCGTAAGTCAGTTCTAAGACATGGCAAAGACAAAACCGAAAAGATTACGAGAGCTTCGGAAAATACAGCTTGGTCCAACGCCCTTGTATTATGCTGTCTTTCATCAGTTTCTGCGAAAAAGTCAGCCCTACCTATCGTTGATTTCGGAAGCGGGGTATTTCTTCCAGAGAAGTCAACTGAAACGCTACTCCAGAAGAAGCCGCGGATAACCAAGAAAAATCGAGACGCAACTTTTTTTTTAGCCCTCCTGCGAAATCGCAAGACAGAAGAACGACGGCCATGTCCGCAGAAAGATGAGTTGCCCCGGCCCCTCATTGCGGGTACGCACCGCTTTTACAGAGAACGCCAGCAACATCGTGCCCTGAAACAGAGCATCTTATATAGGAAAGGGGGCACAGCCGCAGCATCCAGCACAGTTGCGTGCACGTCCGCTCGCTCCAACGTGCTTCGGAACCGCCTCCCCGCTAATCCTCGCTGATGGCGACGACGCCGGCTAGCGCTAAGCCCGAGGCCGGCAAGGATGACGATGACCCGACGAGTAAATTGAACGGCTACCCGGAGCCATCGGCGAGCAGCAGTAGCGAGGATAGCAGCAGCAGCGGCGGTGGTGCCACCAGTAGCGCCAGCAGCAGTTCGAGCAGCGATAGCGCGAGCAGCGACGACGAAACGCAGGCCGGCGCTTCGCATTCGGAGGATGTGGACGTCGAAGACGTGCCACCCAGCGTCCCGTCAAGCTCCGCTGCAGTCGTCATGGCCGCGATCGAGACCCAGGTGGGCATTTACGTCCAGCGGATCGTCGAGCGTCCGAAGGACATGCCCAGCGATCACGCGGACGAAGTGCACGACTGGGTCGGTTGGCCCACGTTTCCTCCCAAGGGTGACGGCGATCGCCAGCAACGGCCGATCGTGATGACCAAGGTGCCTCAGGTCACGCACGTCAACCGGCACGAGTTCCTGCCCAAGATGGAATTGCAGATGAACACCCAGGGCAGGCGAGTTTCGCTTTACTTTCTTTGTCTCTGGGCATCTTCAGTTACGCGTTCGGGATGATTGCTGGCACCGCGTTTCATTTTATTTTTCGCTGCTGGACCGATTACGTTCAGCGCATGACATTAAAGAACTGCCAGACGCGGCCCGCGTGCTCGCATTTGACGGGCCGCTTGTCATACAGATTCACGGTAACCTGCAGGCGCGTAGTTGGAGTATGTCTTGCCGTAGTTATACAGATATAGAAATTACACGCATACTGTATAGACAGCGTTTCTTGGCTTTGAAGAGAAAGGTACGGGGGCGGAGTATCTGAACATGCACCCCCTACGCAAAGTATAGTGCGGTTTTGAACGCGTCTCGTACCTCTATGGGAATTGATGGCGGCGCGCAATCGGCGTTGCATTTCGACGAAGACGCCGTTCTGCGTTTTAGGCAATGGCGAAAGGCGAGATTTGATCAAGCGTTCAAAAACAGAAAGTGACAACCTATGAAGTGAAACGGGCACAAATAGTCCACTGGCGTGCACTGCGTTGTCTTTAAGAGCTATACATGTAAAGAGCTTACTCTGCTTACTCAGAAAAGGCCGACTCAGTTTCGGGCTACATTAATTAGCGGTGATATATGCGCGACTTGGCTCTGGAGGGGGGGAGGGGGGGTGGCCTTCGATTTATTGCCAACAAAAGTTCCGCGAGTTCATGTGATGCTGTCGCGAAAAAGACTCACATGGACGGGCTGCTCTTGGAGGCAAGTCTCTTGAGAGGCGTTTGATCGCAATCTAGCGGCTCGGTGGTCAGTGGTCGCCCTATATAACAGGGTGCATTTTATTTAGACAGATTTTTTTACGTCGAACCTTTGTCGTCTTCGCAAATGAACTCTACAACGAGGCGGATAAACCCTACCGCGCGCACCAGACAGTTATACCGCCCGTGACAGTCTACGGCGTACCCATTTTTAAAGAACACGACAAAACACGTAGTTTCAGATATTAATCACTGAAATGAAGAGGCGCGTGATCGATATAAAAAAAATCGTCATGTGCAGCTCTTACATGTTTGCACAATGGATGACTGTTTTGTTTCGCTGTATAGGCTATGATTACGCACCGGGTCCACCAATACGTCTTAGCACAATACTAATTTGCCTATTGGTTCTCCTTTCATACGAAAGGTCCCAAAAGCTCGATATGATTACGGAGGACGCCACAGGGGAGGAGTGCGGAAATTTCCACCAACTATTGTTCTTTAACGTGCACCCGAATCTAAACACACGAGCCCCAAAATTTTTCGCCTCCATGGAAGATGCGGACGCCGCTGTCGGAATTCGATCCCGTGGCCTTGCGGTCGGTTCTGGTTAGCACTGAGTAAAACGTCGCAAGGTCAGCACTTATTGTCCTGCATAACATAGAAGTCCGGTGTGTGTGTGTGTTAGCGCTGAGTCACGAGTCTCTACATTTATTCATTGATTCATATGTGGGGTTTAACGTCCCAAAACCACCGTATGATTATGAGAGACGCTGCAGTGGAGGGCTCCTGAAATTTCCACCTCCCGGGGTGCTTGACGGGCACCCAAATCTGAGCACACGGCCTACACGCAGCATTTTCGCCTCCATCGAAGATGCGGCCGCCGCAGCCGGTATTCGGTCCCGCAACCGGCGGGTCAGCAGCCGAGCATACATACTAGACCACCGTGGTGGGACCGGTCTCTATAGAGAGCCGAAAAAGAAAAAAAACAAAAACTAGCATTGCTTGAAAAAAAAAAGCAGCAGTGAAGAGGTACACACACTGAGCTATAGATAGATGCGATTCCTTCTTTGTGTCCCGTTTTGAACCGCTGTTCAGTCACACAGATCCAATTATCCCGTAAGTCAACGCACGTTACCCACTCTTCTAAGATATTCGAACACACACGCACACGTACACACACACGTACACACACACACACGTACACACGTACACACACACACGTACACACGTACACACACACACGTACACACACATACATACACACATACATACACACATACATACATACACACATACATACATACATACATACATACATACATACATACATACATACACACATACATACACACATACATACACACATACATACATACACACATACATACATACACACATACATACACACATACATACATACATACATACATACACACATACATACATACATGCATACATACATACATACATACATACATACATACATACATACATACATACATACATACATACATACATACATACATACATACATACATAACGTAAGAAGGTAGCGATGGTTGGTAGAAGCCGAAAAGGAACCGCGAGCGACTGGCTGCGAAGACCCTCCGACGTTGTCGGTAAAGTTGGCGACCATCTCCCGTTCCGACCATGATGCAGCGGTAGCGTGGAGCTCGAAAAGGTCGAACCAGTCCTGTACAGGTTCATCGTCCGCTGCTCCGGTGTACTTGGGGATGGGAAGGTCAGTCGATGATGCCGTCATGATGTTCGTCGATGTGTACTGCTGGTGCTGGTTCGGTAGTTCACTTATGGTCAGGGTGCCTTGCGGAGAACCTTGTCGATGATGTGCGACTGATGAAGGGGCTCTCTCTCTCACCTGGTGGTGAGAGAGAGATTGGGAGAAGGTTAAGAAATTAGTAATGGTCGCTGTAACGTTTAGCTCGAGTAGCTAACACCCGAACGGCGGATATCAGAGGATGATGAAGGCTTAAAGGCTACGGAGAGAAAGAAATAGAGGGATACAAAGAACTGGAGGGGGTACAAAGGGATAGAATGGACGTGTGTGCACGGATAGCCGCTAATGCCTCATATATATAGTGCGACGGCGAGCACGGTGTTCTATCAAAAAATATCCCTTCCGCCTGTGCAGGTTTATTCAGCCAGCGCCTTCGTTCCGCCTCACCAACTTGATGGACGACTTGCAGTACACGATCTGGCTCACCTTCACGGAGTTACACGGGGGCGCATGCGGTCAGTGCCAGCTCCCACATATACTAAGCCGGCGCCTGTACGTCACCGGAGCAGCTTCTGAAAGCGCGGTGGTACGTGTCTTGCGTCGTGCAGCTGGCCAGTTCACCCATCCGGAATCTCCCCGTCCGGGCTCCTTCTGGAAAGGCAAGGTGGTCTCCTTCGCTCGGCTGAAGCTGTTCTCCAACGATGGAATCATACGCCACCCACCGCCCGTAAGTCATCGCACGCCACGCTCACAATTCCCTCTTTCCCTCCGCTTGAATTGAAAAGCGTTTCGTACCTTGATGCGGAGTGATGCGCTCAAAAGAAGGGTCGCAATAAGGAAAATAGATAGACAGACGAAGCTCAAAACTGACAACTCTTTATCACTAACAGCTCTCTTTGTCAGCCAAAGAACTTGCATATCTGACTGACAAGACACGTGCTTCTTAGTTTCATGCTGGCTTGGATTAGCCATTGGTATAAGTAAGGTCACACGTCTCGCCGATATACTGTTGTTAGTTTGGGCTTCGTCTGCCTATATCTGTGCTCCTTCTTGTGTCCAGTCTTTTGTGCGCATCGCTCCCCATCAAGATGATTCGCCAACAGGCTAAAAGTTGAAACCCTGCTAGACGTTCGTTCCGTACCGCACATTTCAGATCACCCTGAAGAGCAGCACCACCTACCGCATACAAGTGAACATAGGAGTCGTCAACGACAGCGGACACATCCTGAGCGCCACAGTCGTCCGCCAGTTTGTCGGTGGCATCTTCTTCGCGGTCGTCCAGACCGCCAAGAAGTCCAGGTGGGTGTAGCGATTTTGCAGTGAAGCAGACCTTTTCTTTTTTTTTTCCTTTTCCTTCCAAATTGATCAGCCATCTTTCTCTTTTTCTGCCTCTCTCTTTCTCTCTCAACAGCTGATGAAACCAAGCTCGGAACTTTATTTGCGATTTGTGTTTCTTGCTTCTAGTTTCACGCGTGGATCATGCGGTCGATTCAAGAAAGCACCACGTGTAATGTAGAGCTGATTGTTATGTTTTTGTTGTGAAATAAATAAGATACATTGTTTTGCAACCAGCGTCTCTTTCTTTCTGTAGTTTAATTACATTTTTCAGTATGCAGTGTTGCGGCATACAGAAAAAAAATATCTATACGGCATTATACCCCTTAAAAAATGAGACTCGAGAACTACGTGCTGCTTGAAACGGCCAATTGATGTGTTTGGTTACACAGGAAGGACGAAAAAAAAAAGTGAAGTGAGTAAGAACAAAAATCACTAAACATGGCAACTTGGGGGTGATCGGGGTGAAAAAAAACGAATTTGTATTACACGAGTACAATGGTTTAGAACAATAAGAAAATAAAACGTATAGAATGTTAACGAAGCTAACTGAAATAATTTCTGAAGCATATCTTGGAATAGCAGGCAAAGCACAAAGACCAGAAAGTAATGAGCAAGCTCTCTGAAGCCACAAGGTACAGGAATCGAAAACATACGAAGTTAACTGCATCCAAAGATAAGATTTAATTCACTGAGTTGTCAATTGGAGACATATAAAACAATGTTGTCAAAAATGAGGACAGATAATGACAATGTTAACGGCACAATAAAGGTACGATTGATGGCAGTAAAACTGCCCAGCCCAAGAATACAATACTTGAGCAAAAGCAGAGTCGAACATGACGTTCAAGCTCTCATTGTAACCATTCATGAGGTTAGGAAGGTTCAACAGGACATATTCGGCGGAGAAGTAGCTGGAGGAAAAAAAAAAGCATGATAGCCGATTTGATCGAATATGGTGCAGATTTTAAATTTAAGATTCTCGATTGTGATACTACGCTTTATGCCTCAAGGTAAAACGTATACCGCATCGAGTTTGAACAACGTCGATGTTACTAATACGCACACGCACACGCACACGCACACGCGCACGCGCACACGCACACGCGCACGCGCACACGCACACACACACACACACACACACACACACACACACACACACACACACACACACACACACACACACACACACACACACACACACACACACACACACACACACACACACACACACACACACTCAAGGAGACAGTGAAGGCTTGAGCCCGTATTCTATCGGTTCTAATCCTGTATTGCGCTTAATGAACAAATTAGGTCAGTATAAATGAACCGATATTGTTCTCTTTTACCCTGTTGTCATTTCTGTGCCTTTATAACGTGCATAAAGAGTACGGGGGCTTGAGAAAAATGTTACGTAAGGTCAAGGTTGGTTTATGAATATGCGACTTGGAGAATCCTACTAACCGACCAGCCTTCTTGTCGGCGTTGTATAAAATTTTCACGGAGGTAATGTCGAGCAGGGTACCTGCAAGTCGCGGGTTCCATCTCGGCTGCAGGCAGTCGAATTTCGATGCAGTCGAAATGGCAGAGGCCTGTGTACTGTGCCTCGTCAGAGCCCCGCCGTGGTGGTCTAGTGGCTAAGGTACTCGGCTGCTGACCCGCAGGTCGCGGGTTCAAATCCCGGCTACGGCGGCTGCATTTTCGATGGAGGCGGAAATGTTGTAGAACCCGTGTGCTCAGATTTGGGTGCACGTTAAAGAACCCCAGGTGGTCGAAATTTCCGGAGGCCTCCACTACGGCGTCTCTCATAATCATATGGTGGTTTTGGGACATTAAACCCCACATATCAATCATGCGCCTCGTCAGAGCACGTTCAAGAACACCAGGTGGTCGAAATTTCCGGAGCTCTCCTCTACAGTGTGCCAGAGTTGCAGTGTCCATCATACCTACATCATGGTTTTGGGAAGTAAATACCGCAGACGACAACAACAACAACAACAACAATAACGACAACAACAACAACAACAAGAACAACAAGAACAACAACAACAACAAGAACAACAAGAACAACAACAACAACGAGAACAACAACAAGAACAAGAACAAGAAGAACAAGAACAATAATAATACATAGGATAAGAGTCACTCTCAATGTAGAGCAAGGTGGTTTCAATTGGTCACCTTTATGCGGTCCATCAAATAATGGAGAAATCTGCCAAATAAAAGATTCACCTTTCATATGGCACTCGTAGATTACGAAAATGCTCCGGATGCATTGCATCGACAACAAATCATACGTGAACACCGTAGCCAATATACGTACACAGACATTTCACAACTACTCTGATCCTCCTCGGGAAGAGATTCTGATCAATATAGTAGACAGAAGGCTTAAATTTAACTGCAGATAATGTTCTTAGTTTCGGTGCCTATGGCTTGGGACATTGCCACAGAAACGTAATCGATGCCGTATGCAATTTTATTCAAGAATCTAAGCGCATGCCATTATAATGCCTGCTTGAATATATTTTTGAAGAATACTTGTGATTATTTGAATGTATAGGTCTCACATTCATTCGATTTCGACCGAGTGAGATAAACTCGACTGTCTGGTCTACTCAAAATTTCAGTCTTCTAATATAGTATAAGCTCTCATTTCTCTCTTATTAATTCATCTTTATGTTATTTTTTAGTTTAGCATTATTTTTTATTTTATTATTATTTTTATGATTTCATTAGTTTTGTTCTTTTAACTATAGGCTCTCAATCAGTATATCACATATAGGCTACTACTATATTTCAGGCTATGCGCCAGTACGTACAGGCAACAAACAAAGATAACCGCCGGTTTAATGGCCGATCCCCCGTAGTGGCTACAAACCAAAGCGTATAGGAACAAGCAAGCAAGCAAGCAAGGGTATCCGGCAAGGCGATGCAATATCTCTATTATTATTCACCGCATGCCTATAAGTATCTTGATGACTAGGTTAGAAGCTTGGAAAGAAATATGAATAAAGAGGAAAGGAGAATAGCTTAGCAGGTTAGGTTTGCACATGACATCAGGCTCATCAGCAACAGCAATCACGTCGAGGACTTGCTATGTATAAATGCAGGTCATTCCATATGAAGTGTTCCCATCAATTTTCGACCATATCCCCAAAAGGGGAGCTTTGGCCATCAGCCAAAAGGGGATCAGGGTGGTCATCAGCGACTCCAAAAACGCTGTGAGAAATTACGAATCGGGAAGGGTGACGGAGACTGCCGTCCGTATATTAAACACGGTAGGAGTACCCAAAGAGCAGATTCTGCTTGTCTGGGCTCCAGCTCACCAAGGACTTAGAGGGAACGAGGAGGCTCATTCCGTCGCCCGAGGTCTCACCTACCGGTCGACCCCTGGAACCTCCCAAGTTACCGAACAAAGAAGCGAGTATATGCGCACATACCATGAAATCGTCGCACACTACAGGCTGAATCGGCAAGTGTACCCGAGAGCGGACAACTCACTAAGTAAGAAAAACGAGATTTTGTGGCGAAAGTTACAGACCGGGGTTTTTCCAAACCCCGCACTTTACAGCAAGTGGCACCCCGCAGTTTTCCAGTCCCAGTGTAAATTTTGTGATGAGGTAGCGAATTTGGTCCACATGGTGTGGACATGTCCAAGTCAAAACGATGGTTCTCGCACTGTAGAATCCTGGGAGGCCCTGCTCTGCAGCCCAGATCCCAACGTCCAGCGCGACATCATCAGTCAAGCCCTTGCTGCTGCCGCGTCCCAAGGGATTCCGGCCGACAGCTAGGGGAACGGGCCATGCCTGAGCAATTGACTGACCTTTTAATAAAGTTTTCTCTCACTCTCTCGACCATATCCGATCACGCTGAAAAAAAAAAGCGTGCAGGCATATATCAATGTGAGTAGTGGTCACTGGGACGTTATACTTCGCAAAAAAAAAAAGTGTTGCCTAGAGGGCGCTTCAAACTTTGGAGAATTAAGGCCCCTGTATTTTTCAAAGGTAGCGCAAACTCCCTTCCCCGCGCCATTTCCTCCTCACCCGCCACGAAGGAGCGACTCACGCGGAGCGCGCCGCCGGACGGTTTCGTTTTGTCGCGCGGCGCGTTGAAGTAAGTCCCCTAGGGGCCTTACGTTGAAATGTTATTATGAGTGCTCTTAGAGCTCGAGTTTGTACAGGAACAACAGAGCCCTAATGAAATTGGGGACATGCATGCGTGCTTCCATAATGGGACGTGTGTAAACGATTCATCCATAAAATACCACAAACGTTTAGTGGGATGAAGGTAGATTTTATTGAGTGCGCAAATAAAATGCGGGAAGCATCGAATGATCACGAACGCTGCAACACATTCCAGTAGAGCGACGACAGGGCGAAAAAATTTCGCTATCAAATCAGATAGCCTCTGATTTGATGCTTCTGATCAGAGATAGCCTCTGATTTTATGCATGATGCAATTCACGCTTACAGCTGCCAGGAGGCAGCTGTAAGCAAGAATTGTAAATACAGAGGCTAGAGGCGCGAACATTTGTCATCACAGCGCAGTCAACTCACAAAATAAACTGCCCACTGGTTCAGCGTCCGGGGCAATCCACACTGACGTTTCTGGCTCATCCAAGGATACAGCTGTAAGCAAGAGTTGATTGAGCAAGTACAGTGTAGGGGTGGGGATGTTTGCTGCCACAGTAAGACAGAATTGGATGCCGAATTAATCAGGTTCACAGGTCATAAAGATAAATGCAGCAACTATGCTATCTGCCAGCGATCCAAACACACTGTATTGTCATATAAACCCCAAAACATAATCGCATTCACAACACAAGAGAGGAATAGAAACTACAAAGGGGCCTCACCAGGAACCGTTTCATTCCCCCTTTTGCGGGGTGGCTTGCGCTCTTTCGGAAGAGGCCGATGCGCAAATATAGAAGGAACCGCATTTGGCTTGAGTTTCTTGATGCCAGTTTGTGCCAGAATTGCTGGCTCATACTGATCCATCGTGAAGTGTTTCTGAAAAATACCGACATCCTCTATCGCATTTTTGCAGTTTGGCTGATGTGATATTGCCGAAGCAAAATATTTTGCTTCTTACGTTAAAAATGCAAACAGCCACAAAAGCCAAATGATTTTCTTGCATTTAGTATATAGGTGCCTTTCTCTTTGTCAATCGAAAGTGTACAACTTCGCAAGTATGTTCGAAATTGGAACGAAAGTATCTATGCATTTCACAA